CCGGGGGAACTCTGGTACCGGGACTGTTCCCGGAGAGCTCTGGGACCGGGATTGCTCCGGGACGGGACCGGGATTGCTCCGGGACGGGACCGGGGAGGCTCCGGGACGGGACCGACACCGGGACCCGGGGGCGCTCCGTGACGCCACCGGGACCCGGGGGCGCTCCGGGACCGACACCGGGACCCGGGGGCTCTCCGGGACGGTGCCGCGGCCGCCGCCGGGGCTCTTTCCCCGCCGCGCCGCCCCGGTGTCCGTTCCCCGTTCCCGTCCCGAGCCCCCGGGGGTCCCGCCGCACCGAGAGGAACGGGGAGGGGGGGGGGGGGCCCTTACCGGGGGGGTCCCGTCCCGAAATTTGGGGGTGACGACACCGGGCCCGGGCGGTGACATCCTGCGGTGTCCCCGCCCCGTTCCCCGCGGGTGTCTGTCACCTCCCGCCACCCCGGTGTCACCTCAGGCGCCGCCCCTGCCTCGATTTCCCCCAGATGTGCGCCCAGATGTGCGCCCAGATGTGCCCCCCCCACCCTGCCGCTGGGATGGGGGTGGCAGCCCCGGGGAAGGACACCGGGGACAGCGGGTGGCACCTGGGTGACACCCTGGGGTGCCAAAGGTGACAGTGGGTGTCACCACCCATGGGGACAGGGCTAGGGGTGACATGAGCGGCCCTGGGTGACACCCCGGGGTGCCAAAGGTGACAGTGGGTGTCACCACCTATGGGGACAGGACTGGGGGTGACATGAGTGGCCCTGGGTGACACCCTGGGGTTCCAAAGGTGACAATGAGTGTCACCACCTATGGGGACAGGGCTGAGGGTGACTGGGGGGACACGAGCGGCCCTGGGTGACACCCCAGGGTGGGCAAAGGTGACAGTGGGTGACACCACCCATGGGGACAGGGCTGAGGGTGACTGGGGGGACATGAGTGGCCCTGGGTGACACCCCGGGGTGCCAAAGTGACAGTGGGTGTCACCACCTATGGGGACAGGGCTGGGTGTGACTGGGGGGACACAAGCGACACCCCGGGGTGTCCCAAGGTGACAGTGGGTGTCACCACCCATGGGGACAGGGCTGGGGGTGGCTGGGGGGTGACATGAGCGGCCCTGGGTGACACCCTGGGGTGCCAAAGGTGACAGTGGGTGTCACCACCCATGGGGACAGGGCTGGGGGTGGCTGGGGGGTGACATGAGCGGCCCTGGGTGACACCCCGGGGTGCCAAAGGTGTCACCACCCATGGGGACAGGGCTGGGTGTGACTGGGGGGACACAAGCGGCCCTGGGTGACACCCCGGGGTGCCAAAGGTGACAGTGGGTGTCACCACCCATGGGGACAGGGCTGAGGGTGACTGGGGGGACACGAGCGGNGAGCGGCCCTGGGTGACACCCCGGGGTGCCAAAGGTGTCACCACCCATGGGGACAGGGCTGGGTGTGACTGGGGGGACACGAGCGGCCCTGGGTGACACCCCGGGGTGCAGAGGTGACAATGGTTGTCACCACCAATGGGGACAGGGCTGAGGGTGACTGGGGGGACACGAGCGGCCCTGGGTGACACCCCGGGGTGCCAAAGGTGTCACCAACCATGGGGACAGGGCTGAGGGTGACTGGGGGGACACGAGCGGCCCTGGGTGACACCCCGGGGTGCAGAGGTGACAATGGTTGTCACCACCCATGGGGACAGGGCTGGGTGTGACTGGGGGGACACGAGCGGCCCTGGGTGACACCCCGGGGTGCCCACGGCGTGACAGACCGGGCGTGGCCCCGGCTGTCACCCCGGGGCGTCCCTGGCGGCACGGAGGTGACCAGGAGGTGACGTTGCCGTCCCCAGGAGCCATGTCCCGGCGGCGCTGAGCCGTCGCCGTCGCCGCCGCCGCCATGGGGAGCATCTACAAGGACTACTTCAACCGCGACAAGATCCGCGAGCACTACAACTTCACCAAGGGCGACGGCGGCGAGGGCGCGGCGCCCTCGCGCTGGGTGGGCTCCGTCCTCATCGTCCTCCTGTGCTGCGTCATCGTGCTGGAGAACCTCCTGGTGCTGGTGTCCATCTGCCGCAACAAGCGCCTGCACCTCGCCATGTACATCTTCATCGGCAACCTGGCCGCCTCGGACCTGCTGGCCGGCGCGGCGTTCATGGCCAACACGCTGCTGTCGGGCAGCACCACCTTCAGCCTGACGCCGGTGCAGTGGTTCGTGCGCGAGGGCACGGCCTTCGCCACGCTGGCCGCCTCGGTGTTCAGCCTGCTGGCCATCGCCATCGAGCGGCACGTGGCCATCACCAAGGTGAAGGTGTACGGCAGCGACAAGAACTGCCGCATGGTGCTGCTGATCGGCGCCTGCTGGGCCATCGCCGGCGCCGTCGGCAGCTTGCCCATCATGGGCTGGAACTGCATCAGCGACCTGGGCGACTGCTCCACCGTGCTGCCGCTCTACTCCAAGCGTTACGTGCTCTTCGTCACCACCATCTTCACCCTCATCCTGGCCGCCATCGTGGGGCTCTACACGCGCATCTACTGCATCGTCCGCTCCAGCCACGCCGAGATCGCCTCGGCGCAGACCCTGGCGCTGCTCAAGACCGTCACCATCGTGCTGGGCGCCTTCATCGTCTGCTGGCTGCCCGCCTTCATCATCCTCCTGATGGACGCCTCGTGCCCGGTGCGCGCCTGCCGGGTGCTGTACAGCGCCAACTATTTCTTCGCCTTCGCCGCGCTCAACTCGGCGGCCAACCCGGTCATCTACGTGCTGCGCAGCAAGGACATGCGCGGCGAGTTCCTGCGCGTGCTCTGCTGCCGCGGCCGCCGCCCGCGGCCCCCCGGCCGGCCGGGGGTCCCGCTGCGCACGTCCAGCTCGCTGGACAAGGCCGCGGCCGGCCCCGCCGCCGAGCCGGGCGCGGCGCCACCCGCCCGCGAGGGCACCACGTCCGTGTGAGCGCGGCGGCGGCGATGGTGGTGGTGGTGGTGGGCAAGGGTGGCCGGTGGGGGGTCAGGGGACGCGGTACGGACACGGCACGGACACGG